TTTGTGAATTTGTTGAATTTAGTGAATTCAGTGAATTTAGCGGATTTAGCGGATTTAGTGAATTTAGCGGATTTAGTGAATTTAGTGAATTTAGTGAATTTAGTGAATTTAGTGAATTAGCGAATAAAAAAAAAACGATACATTTTTAACATTTTTACCGGAATAAAAGATGTTAGCTTATTTAATCTATCAGTTGGTCAGGTTTAGGACCCCTTGAAAATCCTTTGAAAATTTTGAAAGATAATTTTACCTTTTTGTCTTTTCATTAGATTTGTTTTGGTGTATGCTACGACAATCCTGCGGAAAGAATTTGTGACCCGGTAAAAAATTTGTAATTTAATTTAATTAAATGCTATCAACAGAAATCATCAACAGAGTCATCAACAGAATCATCAACAAAATCATCGGCAAAACTGTCAGCAGAATCATCAACCGAACCAATTATGGAAACATCCTTTGCTTGATACGTCATTTTAATAATATAAAAAAAATGAAATTGTTTTGTAATCGTTTTTATATTAATATATTAATGTATGCTTTTATAACTATAAAATAAATATATCGTAGAATTTTCTTTAGAAAGAATTTTAATTTGTGCATAAATAGATGAAATTATCAATTGCGAGAAATTTGAATAATTTGAGTAATTTTGAATAAAGTGAAACAATTCGGCTCGCAGGAGAATATATGCTACTTATCGTAATTCCGAAATCAATTAAATCAATTGTTAAATATATATATGTGATGAGCATAAATAAACTTCAATACTTTAAATCATTGGCATTTAATAAATATATATCAATTAGTTCCAAATATAGTAGCGTACGTTTCCTTTTTGGTTAAATAGGGGTTAAAATACTTTAGATGCTTGCTGATACTTTACTTGATTAAGAGTGAAATAGGGTCAATACAAAAGGCCCTATTTCTTAACCCCCTTACAAATTGCACCCTTTTTTATCGTTTTATCGTCGTTCACCGGTGCATTGTGCCACTAATCTAGGGTTTGTTTAGGTTGTACGGAAAACCAAGAATGACCCCATGTGACTTGACTATGTGGGACAATGGGTCTAGATTTAAACGATTTTCCTATATTCGATAAATAAGAACTTATCATAGTATGTTGTAATTACACAACCCCAGTAAAGAGATAAAGAAATTTTTTTTGTGTCGAGTTGTCACTGGAATTAATTTCAAATAATTTCAAATAGCACATTTCAAATAGTAGCATTTTAAATAGCAAAACATTTCAAATAGCATTTCAAATAACATTTCAAATAATTCAAATAACACTTCAAATATAATTACAAATAGAATTAAAATATAATTACAAATAGAATTAAAATATATAGAATTAAAATATTTTTACAAATAGAAAATATTTTTACAAATAGAATTAAAATAGAATTTCAAATAACAAATAACAAAAAAAAAAAAAAAAACGACTCAAACCTTACGAGCCTGACTGGAGTGACTGGAGTTGTTAACGCGTGGGCATGCGTGTTTTCTTTTGATCTACTATTTATATTCATGATCCACTTCGATATCTTTGCCACGTTTCCCTTCCTGTCTATTTTCCTAAAAGAGCCCCTATCTGATTGTAATTCAATTTGATTCGTACTCGGAACCCAACCATGTGAAAGCGCATTTTTTATTAATATTCCAAAAACGGTGTTCACAAATCTTCCCACAACCCAACTAGATACCCGTTCTACTCGCAGAAACTAT